TTGGACTATGACTCTGGAGACCAGGGTTCGAATTCCTCCTGAGCCATGAAACTCACTGGGTGACCTTGGGCAAGTCACACTCTCTCAGCCTCAGGGGCAAGCAATGGCAAACCTCCTCTGAGCAAATCTTGCCATGAAAACCCTGCAGTAGGGTTGCCATGAGTTGGAAACAACTTGAAGGCACACAACAACAACAACAAAGGTGGACCTATCCTGAGTTTTTTTGTTTGTTTGTTTGTTTTTTGGCAAGATTGGTTCAGAGGAGGTTTGCCGTTCCCTTTCCCAGAGGCTGAGAGAATGTGACTTGCCCAAGGTCACCCAGTGGGCTTCATGGCTGAGCCAGGATTCGAACCCTAGACTCCAGAGGTTCAGTCCAACACTCAAACCACTTTGCTGGCTCTCAGGGCACATCGACAGTGTCAAAAATCGTACGCTTTGGCACCACATTCACTACCACAGCTCCAGCCTGAGATTTGTAGTTTGGTGAGGCGCCCCCACTCTTTGGCAGAGAAAGGCTACAGAGACCTTGTAAAACTACAGCTCCCAGGATGCCATAAGATGGAGCTACAGCACTTAAAAGTGGTGCCAACCTGCATTATTTCTCCAGTGTAGATGCACCCAGAGACTAACCAGAGACAACATAGTAGAAAGACAGAAACCTTTAGTTTGTTTTATGCATTGTGGGTTTAACTTTTTTGCAATGAATGGTCAAGCCTGGACTTGTCCGGGGCTCTCATTCTTTGGTGGGAGGAATCAGATGCATTTCCTTTGCTGGCGTTTGAGATAATAGTGCAAAGTCTTGTTATCTTGGCATGGCAGAAGACCCTTCGGTGGAGCTAATCGACAGGCACACAGTTCAAATCCTCTCGCTTGATATGGGGTGACTCCCATCACACTACAACCGTTTGGTCAGTGGATTCCCAGGATCTTCTATTATGCCCCATGCCTCTGGCAAATGTTTGGTTAACGTTTGCACCCCCTGAAAAGCTAATGTCACATTTCAAGATAAGGAAGTTTAACGTCTAATTTTTAAACCGCACATTGCAATACTGCATGGGAACAAATGGAACTTTTAAAAAAGAAGCCTTTATTTAACTCAATGCATAACTTTCAAGTCGCATTATTGCAATCCTAAGGTGTACCTATCATAGGCTTTTCTTGGCAAGTTTCTTCAGATGGGGTTTTGTTTTTGGTGGTTTTTTTTTTTTTTTTTTTTTGGCCATTGCCTTCTTCTGGGGCTGAGAGAGTGTGACTTGCCCACCCAGTTGGGTTCCATGGCTCAGCTGGGATTCGAACCCTGGTCTCCCAGTGTCCTAGTCCAATGCTCAAACCCTTATGCCATGCTGGCTCTCATCATGTGTAACATGCCAAATATCTCACCAAACTACAAATCCTGGAATTCGATAGCATGGAGCTGTGGTAGTTCAAGTGGTGTCAAACTGGATTGTTTCTGCAGTACAGATGCATAGTCGGACTGAAATGTTTTCCTATTGCACAGCTTTAGAAATAATTTTAAGGGAATCAGGATATGAATACCCTTGTCCTAAATATTTTACGTATTGTTTTAAAAAATCCATAACCTATTTTCCCCCATTTTTCAAAGACAAGAAGGATTTGTGGGGAGGAATGGAGGAAATCTATGGAAGGTTTTTCCTGCATTTTCCCCAGTTTTTCTTCTAAACCAGTGCTAAATCAGTATAGCAAAGGTAGGAAAAGCATTGCAGGTTGTTCAGTATTACTTCTCTCTCGGGAGGTAACTTGGGTACAATTGCCTTTGAGGGGTACTTTACTTGTGGATTTCTCCCTTGTCAGGGGTTGGAATAGATGACCTTTGGGGTTCCCTCCAAGTTTCTGATCCTGTGATTCTCCTAGTCTTTATACCAATCCCATCCGTCGTTTCACACCTCTGTGTTTGTCTGCCAGCTCAAGATAGCTTTTCTTTTGTCTGCAATGATCCGGAGGATCTCAAAGCTTCTGATAAATTCCATTATTCTATTGACCTGGATCTTCTTTCTTAATTTGGGGGCTTTAGGTTCTGGATGTACTTTCCTAGGAATCACTCCCACACAAACCTCTGGGATGTACTTCGGGAGGAAAGAAAGGAAAACAAAACCCACACAAAGCATTGTTTTATATTGCTTTAATGGTTTTTTTGGTTGATGGAAGTTCACACGGATATTTACTTCCGCAAGATTTTAATCAGATTTTTTTGGGTTCGTTTTGTTTCTAACTGGATGTCCAGCAAGGGAGATAACCTACTTTTTGCTCCAGTTTGAAGATGAGAACCAAAGGTCAGGAAAAAGCAGCTGAGGCTTTGTAACACATCTGCTTTCTTTCTCCTTGGACAAGACAAGTGCATATTTTTTTTGTTGCAAACTTTTGCTAATGTAAATATAAATTAGGTCTGGAAACCACCAAACCCTATGAGGAGAGACTTAGGGAGCTGGGTATGTTTTGCCTGGAGAACAGAAGGTTAAGAGGTGATGTGATAGCCCTGTTTAAATATTTGAAGGGATCTCATACTGAGGATGGAGCAAATTTGTTTTCTGCAGCTGCAGAGACTAGGATGCAGAGCAATGGATCCAAGCTGCAGGAAAAGAGATTCCACTTAAATATGAGGTAGAATTTCCTGACAGTAAGAGCTATTTGACAGTGGAATAATATGTTCCTTCAGAGCATGATGGAGTCTCCTTCTTCTGAGGTCTTTCTACAGAGGCTGGATGGCCATCTGTCGAGAGTGCTTTGATTGTGTATTCC